CCCCAGCTTATATACTGAGCATGACATCGTATGGTATGGAATATCCCTTTGGCCAGTTTGGGTCAGCTGCCCTGGCCGTGCCCCCTCCAAGTCCCCTCCGAGCTCTCGTGCACCTTCTCGCTGGCAGAGTATGGGAAGCTGAAAAGTCCTTGACTTAGTATAAACACTGTTTAGCGACAACTAAAACACCAGTGTGTTATCAACATTATTCTCATGCTCAATCCGAAACACAGCACTCTACCAGCTACTAGGATGAAAAAAACTCTATCCCAGCCGAAACCAGGACACTGACTTAATTTAAATGTTGTTACTCTTACATTGAAAAACACATATATGAAATTTGGTATGAGAATTTGGGGGAAGACTTTGAGGTTTCCAGGTCCTAGGACTATTCAAGAGAGGAAGCTCTTTCAGGGAAATAAAAATAGCAGAGAGGAAATACTGTAAATCCTGATTTCTTCTAAGTGAGAAGTAGAGCAAAGTTCTCCCTGCAGAAGGTCACAGTGCTGGCCTGCTCATTCTTTTTTTTTTTTTTCAGTTCTGCTAAGTCTGCAGCACCCAGGCTTGGACAGCCACAGACTACAGCAGAACACTCTTTTTAAAAGTCTGTAAAGTCTATTGAGAACTGGTCCTGGAGAAAGAACTCCACTGACTGACAGTGTCTGTTTTGCTCTACTTCAGGGAAGTGATTTTCGCAAGACAACTACAGCTTCCCTGCTTCCTTCAATCACCTTTCTGCTCTAAACAAGTTACATTCAAGCAGCAGGTAGACTGCTAAAGGAAGAGTGGGCTCCCTCTTACATGTGTTTGAGACCCTGGCTTAACTGACCGCAGCTGTTTACAATAACTGATGGTGATTCATAAAATATACCACCATTTCATAAAACTTGGTTCACTGCTGTATGTATTAAAAAGGAATTAAAACTGAAACTCACCCAGTATTATATTGGAGACAGGTACTCGCACATCATTAAAGTGTATCTCAAAATGTCCTCCATGGATCTCATCTACAGGGACAGAGAAAACACAACAGCAGGGTAAAACAAAGGAAGATAAAAACACAGGCCTTCAATTCCTAACCCTTTTTCTATGTATGCATTTTACTGATTTATTTCATATACAATATTTATTATTATTACTGCAGCTCCTGAGATTACTAACAAATTAATACACATATAGCTGATAAATATTATCACCTACCCAGATAGCCAAACACTGAGAGGGGTCTTATCAGCTTCAGCCCTGGAGTGTCCATGGGAACAATGATCACACTGTGCTGCTCGTACCTGATCAAGACAAAATGCACAAGTTATGATTAACTTTGAGCCTCCCTTCTGTCCCCTCCCTCCACTGTTTTTATTTTCTATCTTCAATTTAGCACTCGCATAAAGCCCATGTTGAGATTTACCTATACCGATTACAGTCCTCCTGCCTGCATGCAGTGTGGCATGCATGCTTTAACACTCCTTGAATCACCACTCAACATGTAAAAATGTTCTACTGGCATCTAACGCACCACGACCAAAAAACTACTAGTTCTGTCACTTCTGTGCAAGTACTTCTGTATCACCCAGTCCATTTCCTCCACAACCCACACCCACACCCCCGCGCATTTCTTTTTTGTTCTCAAAACGTGTTTATCATCATCATCATCTTGGCTTGCCTATAGTTTAGGAAAAGAATCCCCATGTTTAAATTCCTTCAGAATATTAAAGGTCAGTTAGTAGTCACACAGAACTGGAGGTGACATCCCAGGTCCCTGAATTCAGTCTCCAGTTCTAGCAAGTGCAGTAATCTCCTCCATGAACTTCCGTTCAGCTTCGAAGAGCTCAACAGATGCCACTGTCTGTACAGCTGTTGGACAAACCATCCTGTATGCTGTAAGCAAGTTACTGTTTACTTCTCAATGGAACCTAGCCAATCTAAAAACTTAAGATAATCAGTGGAATTTGGGCTAAAATCCAACTTAGAGATATAAATGTTCCAATTCTTTTGCATTACAAGCTGTGTGATTTTAATGGAATCAGTCACGAAGCATTTTATTCATCACTTGCGTAAGTTTTTGTAAAAGACAATTTTAGTTTGGTAATAAGAGTTGAACAACATTTATTTTAAACAAGAAGAGGGAAGTATTATATTTACACATATAGGAATGGAATGAGTAGGTCCGATTAAATATGTGCACTGCTCTCTGCTCACACAACTTCACATAACAAACATCCCATGTTTCAAACTTAACTTTCTATACCTACAGATAACTTCGTGAAAAACTTAGTAGATAACTTCAGGTCTCTGATGTGCCACTTGTACTCATTCAGTTCAGCGAAGCTCTGAAAAGTTTTGGTTTTATTATGATTTAAGCAAGCAATTCTTACTCGTTAAGTGTTTTATGTACTATACTTACGAAATAAATTGTAAGCCAGAGATAGTTGTTGGTTGAACAACTGATGCAGACTAAAACTAAGGTGACCAAGATAAAGCTAGTGAACCCCCAAAAATTTCCTGATCCAATTCATCACACAGCTGCACGAACACTAGAGCTAGTGCAATGGAGGGAGGGAAGCATGCGGATGCAAGCTGGTGACAGTGAAAAGGTTGGGAGGCTTCAGTCATCAGCAGCTGACAGCAAAACAGAAGCTTGGTCAGCAACATTCTTCTCTAAACAGGCACATGCACAGGTTTAAAACTCCCCTGTAATTCACAAGCACATCCAACTGATCAAGGCAATTAATGGTATTAGTAATGGTAAACACAAAAATAGTTTTCAATATTAAAATCTCAATGTAGAATCAAATGAAGTTTCATATGAATAAGTCTTACTCCCTTCCTTTCGCAATACAGGAGCAAAAGCATGCGATCTGTACTCTGAGTAATCAGACTTAAACAAAATACATCTTATTGCTTAACATGTAAAAGGGAGTTGACTTGTGGGGAGGGGAACAATGAAAAGCCAAACATCCAAACCCTCCAGGAACCAGCTCCATCATCTATTCCTATGTAAAAGAGAACAAGAAAGTACTTGAAATGGAACCTAATTATTTCTGTCTCCATTACAACTAAGCAAGTAAGTGCGATACAAAAGCACACCTCAAGGTGAGATGCTGCCATTTGAAAAGTAAAACTTCTTAAAGCTATAAAGACTGGAGGATCGATGTGGGAATGAAATGCTGACCACATTATAACCAAATTATGCAAATAAGGCTGTCAAAGGGTTACCATGATGCCTTTACTACTACTTCAGCATAACTTCTCTGAAATGAAGGTTTTTTCCCCCCTTTACGCAAATTATTTTAGTTTGCACTTCAAAGAAAGATCTGAGTGGAAATTGTTACCTGAAAATAATCTGCTAGCATTTCAAGCCATTGATAACATTATTTGATACAAGTCTTTGTGGCATAAAGCTAGCATTTTAATCATAGAATCATAGAATCATAGAATCATTAAGGTTGGAAAAGACCTCTAAGATCATCGAGTCCAACCGTCGACCCAACACCACCATGCCCACTAAACCATGTCCCTAAGCGCCTCATCTACACGTCTTTTAAATACTTCCAGGGAGGGTGACTCAACCACTTCCCTGGGCAGCCTGTTCCAATGTTTAACCACTCTTTCAGTAAAGAAATTTTTCCCAATATCCAATCTAAACCTCCCCTGGCGCAACTTGAGGCCATTTCCTCTCGTCCTATCGCCAGTTACTTGGGAGAAGAGACCGACACCCACCTCGCGACAACCTCCTTTCAGGTGGTTGTAGAGAGCGATAAGGTCTCCCCTGAGCCTCCTTTTCTCCAGGCTAAACAACCCCAGTTCCCTCAGCCGCATCTCATAAGACTTGTTCTCCAGACCCCTCACCAGCCTCGTTGCCCTTCTCTGGACACGCTCCAACACCTCAACGTCCTTCTTGTAGTGAGGGGCCCAAAACTGAACACAGTATTCGAGGTGCGGCCTCACCAGTGCCGAGTACAGGGGCACCATCACTTCCCTGCTCCTGCTGGCCACACTATTTCTGATACAGGCCAGGATGCCATTGGCCTTCTTGGCCGCCTGGGCACACTCCTGGCTCATGTTCAGCTGGCATAATATACAAGTCCTAAAGAAGATTCTACCATTAATTAAAATGGCATCTTATTTCTAAGAGCCTTAATCCTCACTATCTTTTTCTTTAAAGGTTTCTTAGTACCAAAGCATGCTCTCATTCCTTTCAAAGTCTCACACAGACAATAAAGCTAGGGAAAAGGGGGCAGGATTTTACCTGACGTATGTAACAATCAGTAAATTTTTTATTGCTATCTCAATGCAGATGACAAGTTTCGCAGAGATTTAATTCAAGATTTGATCTGCACCAACTCGGTTTGTTTTGAGGTCAGAAACAAAGATGACTTTTTAACTTCTCTGGCAGCTGTTACCACAAGGTTTGGGAGCCTCTGGTCTAGACAATACAACCACCTGGCTTTGAGCTGAGCTACTTCCTCCTAAGAACAGCCACTGTGATGGCCGGTGTCCTGGTTTTGGCTGCGATAGACAGCCGGGAAGTGGGAGAGACATTTATTTCATTCTGATAAACACTGCCCATTTTGAGGGCCAGACTGCTGGCTGTTTACTTTCCTCCTTTGCAATATGCTATTCATCCATTGTTTGCAAAGTGGGGTTATACTTGTGGCCCATGAGCTGTACAATGCTAACGAGCTAAAATATCTGAGTAAAAAGCTGGTGTTGGGGGGGAATAAATCAGCTTGGTAAAAAAAAAAAAAGGTAGATCTCAAACAGTTGGCTCATTTGGGCAACTGCAACAAGAGGGTGACCAACCCCAAAATAATACAACATGTACTTTGCAATGTACTCTCCTGCAAAGAGAAATGCTATACTCTTAAGGGGTATTTGACTCTTCTCTTTTTCCACAGAAGGTGAAGAATTGCACAAGTGGTATTTTCTAAACCACATTTATCTTGAAGTGAGGTTTACAACAAAAGATACTTTGACTTTCTGGAATCTCTTAAAAAACTGTTTTGGAAACAATCCTCAAGTCACCTGCTTCAAAAAAAGGCAAATTTCACCATGTTGTATGAAAAAAATCAGAAGCAGCTTTCATGTTGAACTTAGTGAGGAGTTCACTGAGAGCTAGACATCTGGTTGGATGCTCTAAATCATTAATACAAGTTTCTGGAAGCCAAATGAATACCTCCGTTTCATATGTACTTTTTCCCATGTGAACACAGCAAAGGAAGGCAGATTCCTGGCCTTTCTACTCCTTAGAGTCTGACGTTCTGAAAACCTAAAACAAATTTCATGCAACTTTGACCCATAAACACCGGAAACAAGTTCTGGTCTAATGCAAGACTCCGAAAGACGCCAGTGCTTTGGAAGAAATGCAGACTGCCTGGATGGAATAAATCTCTCATTTCTAAATGGCATTTTTACATTACTTACAGAATTCAAAGAAGCTGCTGGAGGATGGGGGGAAGAGTAAGAGAAGCCTGTCTTTTTGGCAGGAGTTAGAAGTAGTTTTGCAAGAAACTCACAATTGAACAAATAGAAATAGTAGAGATTTTAGAAGGTCAATTTTAAGCATATTTCCATATTAATAAGCTTTTTCATATATATGTCTGCAGAACCTGTCCAAAACTTTTAAACCTCAATGCTGCTACATTGGGAAACACAATGTATTACGTTTTTTAACTCTCCATGGCAGTCATATAGACAAAGACAATGATATTTTAAAATGTACTTAGAGGGTTGATCACAATCCTATTAGAAGCCTAATCTTTGCTATCAGAGGGTGTAACATGCTTAAGATTACTGATCTTCATACAATCAACTTATACAGGTTCTTTCTGGTGGAGAGCACTAAATGTGGCACAGACATGGACAGTACAACCTTTACTTAAAGAAGCTGCCATATAACCTGGTTTCAGAAGCCAATAGCACTTAATTCTTGCAATCTAGTTAACTGTTTTTCAGTGTCCAGTCTTTAAAGTTTTGGCTAAGATGACTAAGGCAGGATAATCTACTACTTGAATGCCCAGAATATCTATGACTCTTGCCACGTTGGCTGCTGCACCGGTGATCCTGGTGGGTTACCTCTCTCTGCTGAAGATCAGGGGTCTGTGGTGACGTTACAGACTTGGCAGCTTCCTAGAAAGGCACTGATAAACACATGTTCTGGACTCTCCTACAAGAAGAAACTGGACTGAGTAGGGTGGATGGCAGCGTGGTATTGATTGTTGTAATATGGGGATCTTCTAATGGAGAAAAGGGAAGCCTGCAGTAATTTCTATCCACCAGCACAATG